TTTTATGTGGGGTGTTTTAAAATAACATAAGAAGAGGTGAAAATGAGTATTTATAACTTGCAAAATGAGGGTGTGAACAAGGTAGAAGCTAACCCTATTGATATACAGATAGGGAAAAAAATAAGGCAGTGGAGGTTGATGCGTGGGTTAACTCAGGCCCAATTGGGCGAAAAAGTAGGAGTTACGTTTCAGCAGATACAAAAGTATGAAAATGGAATAAATCGAGTTTTAGTTAGCAGGCTGTATGATTTGGCAGTGGCTCTGTCAATAGATGTGTCACACTTCTTTTCTGATATACCTAACAATACAATAAAGTCAACAAGTTTGCATGAAGGTGAAAACAAAGAAGGCTTTGATTATAATTATGGCGAAGGTGATGCAGAAAGTAAAGAGATATTAGGATTGGTGAGAGAATATAGAAAAATAAAAAGCAAAAAATCACGTAGTGCGGTGTATTCATTAATAAAATCTTTATCTTTCTCTCAAGATTAGTGTAAACTTCAAATATTTTCTGTTATTAAGTTATAATATTAGCTTGACTTATAGAAAGTTTAGCTTAAACTACAAAAGTGGAATTTTATTTTTTTTTTATTAACGAGGGCAAATTATGAATTATAAAAAAATTTTTTCAGCAACAGCTTTAGTGACGTTGCTGAGTTTATCACACTCTGCTTTCTCAGATCCTGTTGGTGATGTGGAAGATGGAGACTCTAGTTACTATGTTCGTTTGCAGTATAACGGTGATTTTTTCAACGTAATGAGTGAAAAAGAACTTAAGTTGGGTAGTGGAACTAGTGCAGCACCTCTTTTCAGTATTGATAAAGTTGGAGCAAAAACTGTAGCTTCTTATAAACCTAAGTATAAGACTTCTTTGTTTGCTGGTGGTATTGCAGCGGGTTATACAATGGAAGGTATTAGAGCTGAGTTTGAAGTGTTTTATTCTAACTTAGGCGTTGATGGTTCAGATTATAAGGCGTCAGCAGGTGGAGCAGATGCACCTGACAATGCAAAGGCATTTGGTAAGAAAACTGGTTTGACAGGACTTACTGATGCTACTAACGCAACTGGAACAAATGATGGGTTTAAAAATATAGTAGGAATGGTTAACGCATACTACGATATAGACCTTGGTAGTGAAAGTATTCCTGTTGTTCCTTATGTTGGTGCTGGTGTTGGTGTTTCACGCACTACATTTGTTGGTAACAGTCATTTTAAATTGG